CACACACACACACACAAATACATACACACACAAATACACTTACAAATAAATCAAAACAAAGAAAACAAAACCGATCTCCTCATATTACACTCACCCTCTCGAGCCTATCATGTAGGTCATGTGACTTGGTCAACATCTCTCTCCTCTGACGTAGGAGCTCCTTGTACTGCTCGCACATGCGCTGTAGCTCCACGCACTTGGGCCGGATCGAGTCCACAGCGTAGTGTTCTTCCATCATCAGCTGCTGACCGCGAGAACGCATCCTCTCCGCCTGGTCCAGGTCTTTCTGCAGGAGACAAGACGCAAAGCGGGGTCAAGGTCATACTAATACTAGGATACATCAGATATGAGCGACGCAAAGCGGGGTCAAGGTCATACTAGGATACAGAAATGTCGGGACGCAAAACGGGGTCAAGGTCGTACTAGGACATAGAAGACAAGAGGCCAAACAGGGTGAAGAGCCACATCCGGACACAAGACAAGAGGTAAAACCTGGGTAAATGGTCATAATAGGACACAGAAGACGAGACGCAAAGCCAGGGTGAAGGGTCATAATAATATGACACAAACGACAATACACAAAGACAAGGTCAACGTCATACCCAAACACAGATGACGGGACACAAAAACAAGGTCAAAGTCATACTCAGACACAGAAGACAAGACGCAAAACATTGTTAAGGTCATACTAGGACATACCCCCCCCCCTGCCACTGACTGTAGTGTCTTTAGGCCCTTCCCAAAAGGGGGGGGGGGCATTTCTCGTTCAAGCACAGAAGAATTGTAAATGGGCTGATTCATCATGTCACGCTCATAACTGTGCCTGATCTGCAACAGGGAACTGCTGCTTTTTCTTTCCTAATCCTTACTATTGTCATTTCCCTCTACTTCTTTTGAATGTTTGTCACACTCTTGTGACCCGCTATCTCAGGGGTGCTTTGATAGTCGAAGCAGACCTAGTGCTGTTGAAGCTAGAGAGGTGAGCAGAGTACGTCTGATTCCCTGTAAGGACTTCTCTGTTGACACCCACCCCTTGGCGCTCATATGACCTCATATGCAGTTGCGAGCGCCGTACAACCTCTACTAAAAAAAAAAATACTAGGACACAAATGAAGAGACACAAAACACGGTCAAGGATCATAACAGTCGACCCTGTCTAAGATGACCACCCATTGTCCGGCGGAAAAGAGTTGGATAACGGGTCCTCTTGAACAATGCTTTATGATATTATTGAAAAGAAAGGAAAAACAAATGAAGGAAGTAATGTGTGTGTGTGTGTGTGTATGTGTGTGTGTGTGTGTGTGTGTGTGTGTGTGTGTGTGTGTGTG